GGTTTCTATTCATGACTAATTAAAAATTAATTATTGTTAACTAAACTGTAATTTGTGCTTCTGATACTGTTGGAGATGATGGCCTATGCGAACGAGGAATATGTTCATATTTTGATTTCTTACCGATACTTCCAATACGATGCAAAATCTTGGTTGGGTTTGGGATATGGTATTTCATAGTGAAATCTATCGGAAATGATGGCAAGTAACAAGCAAGCAAGCAACCCTTTATATAAATGTTAGGTTGGTGTGTTCACGCTTCAAAAACTGAATTAATTTTGCACCGATTGAGCTTAAACCACACAGAAAAAAAGGCTTTGTTCTTTTGGCAAAACTTTGACACGATATAAAGCACGCTTCAAATATGTTTTTTTCTTTCTATCTGCAACCAACCTGCAACCACAATGTACCACAGCGAAGCGTGGCAGGGCTAGTTTATAGTAATATTTTAAAAATTCGACAAATCTCAATGATATTGATCTAATTGTATCACTGATATTAAGTGAGATATACATCTCGTCGACTATCGATTCATCGCACATCATCATAAATTGGGTTAATGTATTCGATGTGAAATGATAATACTCGTATTCTACTTAAAGATAAAAATCGACTTCATTGTGTACTCTAGTATTAACATTGGAATGGTTAACACTAAGCTGGTATAGCATTAGATATTTTCTTTTTAAATGAATACCTGTTTTGATATCACTTTCGACTGTTGCCCACAATTAGTCATCGCATAAATGCACTTTAATTGATTTTATAATTGGTTGAAAGTAACGACTTCGGAATAAAATATTTGAGCTTCATTGAGGTAGCTGCTTTATGGCGTTCATATTTTTTAATAATTTTTTACACTAATAAAATTTTATGTTTTTTTTTGTGATTTGCTGCATTTTATTTTAGGATAAGCCTATGTCCAGCAGTCGACTATTAAAGGCTGTTGATGTGTGTGTGATGTGATGTGATTAGGATCTCCAACGAAGGATATAAACGAGTAAAAACAATAATTAACTAAAGGGTATTAAGTTGGTGTACTCCTTCACTTACAGGAGACCACAGCAGGCACAAAAAACTTTGAAATTGATTGAATTGAATGTTTTGAAAGTAACAAAAAATAGAATTAAAATTTAAAACAATTAAATAAACTTTATAAAATCTTATATATAGGCTAGATCTTACATCAAAGCTTTTAAGCGTTCCTTATATTTAGACAAACGTAGGCATAATTACATACCTAGATCGGTCGTTTTGCTTAACATGTTATATTGCCTACAAAGTCTTGGCAGAGCGACGTAATGACTCAGGTTTGTGGCGGAGCCAGAGATGTATATTAGACTAAAAGTGTTATGACTGGGATCCAAGTTGGAATTTTAATGGGTAATGAGCTCAAAAGCTCACAGCAATTCATTGCACCCCTTAGTACCTTGTGAAGGATAGAAAAAAGAAATATATCAATTCATAGATATATGTGCAAATAACCATACAAAGATGCATTTTAAGTACATAAACAAATTCGAACATGTTTATACAAAACAATGTTTATATGGACCAGACCGACATTACAGGTAATTTTTGACCGAAGCTCCAAATATGTACATATGTATCGCGATTTGATAGAAGCTTATAACCTAAAGTTTATACTCTAAGCGATAACATATTAAACCATCCTCTATACAATTTATTAATATTTCAGACCATACAATGAAATCAACACTTAATTTTATATCATTTTTTTTAGATTATTATCTAAATATTCGTATGTGTACCTATATTTATATACATATATTTATATATATATATATATATATATATATATATATATATACATATACGAATATTTATAAGGCTTGAATAAATCGTTAATTACTTTCTTGATTGATTAATAAATCAATCAAAAAAGTAGGTAATTATGTGTGTGCAAATGGCCTTTTTTCGCACTTAAAAAGAAGCACATAATACGCGCTGCACAATTGATGGAAATCAAGTATTGGAAATCACTTAAGTTTTACCCTACTCAAGATAATTAATTCTCTTGTGTGTTTGCTAATATTTAAAATCTTGTAAAAAAAATTTGTATAGATATCAGCGGTACAGAAAAGAACATATTCCTTTCATGATATCTTCCATTCAAAAAAGTCATGCTTCAAAGGGCTAAAGTAAATAAATGTTATAGGCTTGATATTCTGGCTTGACAAATGTACGTTAACGCTAGTATTGTTATAAAATTTTGATCGTCTTTCATTCGTTGCTGTGGCGGCGTCCAATCATTTTACCTCTGATTAATTGTCTCACGATTATGGCGTCAATTTGACAGTAAATTGATCATCGGCGATTCATCTTTGCATCTGTACTAGAATAGTGCGGAGCGATGTAATTACGTACTATTTCTTCGTATAATGATTGACCTATTGTAAACTGGACTAGGTACTTGATAAACATTGATGTATGTACTATTCTAATAATAAATGAAGTGTGTATGTGTTTTTGCAACGCTTACCTCCGAAATTAATCATTGTATTTAAATTTCATTTCTGTATTTCATGGCCCAATCTTAGGAAACTAAACTGATGTGTTAATATCGCCAAATCAAATAGACTTAAAATATTGTTCTATGTAAAATTAATATACAATTATTCAATTAACACAAACGCGTATAAAACACCTGTAACATTATCTTTGAAAATGGCGAAAAAGAATTGAAAATAGTCATGTTGAAACATATTAGTGCTACATTAGACAAGTTAAATAGTTACCTTGATATTCCAAATTAATTCATTTACTTTCGTAATTGTATATAAATTTTATTTAATTAATTTTTAATAAGTACCATTGGCACTCAAAGCAAAGTAAATTTTTAGGATGGGCTGTCACAGTTAGTTTCTAGTTCATTATGTCATATCTATTTATATCACAACTCCAGTGACATCATTAGAAACTCTGACGGCACTAACATCAGTTATTTTAATTTTATTAAATAGTATATTAATATTAAATAGTATAGTTATATAGCTATTGAGAGTTTCAATTCGAAATACATGTGTTTATCTGATTAGATCAACGAATTTACAAGACCGTTACGCAGAAGATGAATCAGAATTAGAGGAACAGATCCAATTTATCTGATATACAATTTAATTACAGACGTATGTTACATATCCTCGCACTTATTCTATTCTATCTGTAGCTCACGGTTTGGTCTGTGAAATTACCTGTGTTTAAAACTTTGTATTCTTTCCTCATTTCTAGAAACGTATTACTGATTTAATTACAAAGCTCTTCAATTATGTTATGGATTGATATTTATTTTTATATACATTATGTTTTCCATTGATTTCATAGAACTACAGTAAAATTAAGCTTTTGCAGCTATGCTACGTGATACTTACACTTATAGGAAAGTTTTGGTATAAGTATACCGAAGAAACTAGAGTTTAATTATTTTTTTAAATAATAACTCGAGACATCCCACACTATGGTAATGAGACTGCGGATAGACATAATAGATATTTCTAAATACATAACATCAAATCATATTATAGATAAACCAGAACAAATAAAAATACTAAACTACTAAAAATACTAAAAGAACAAATAATCGTGCTCATCATACAATAACTTGTCCAGAGTGTGAATCGAATCCACGACCTCTGGCTCAGCAGGCAGGATCACTAAAAGTCACTGGAGATGCAGTGTCTACGACTGCATGAAACCACTCTGTTCCTCTTTGTATGCAGATGTGCACAATTGCTATGTAGAAACCTTGTTATACGTATATATATATATATATTATGAGTAGGTTTCAGGTCGTGCCAAAGTTTAAATATGATCTTGTGTTGAGTCGCAAAAAATAAATTAGTTTCATGTCAAGAAAAAATTGACGAAATAATTAGTTAGAGAAAAAACTAACGTGTTTAGTATTTAGGCTTGTGTTCTAAATTAACTCATAATTGAAAGGGTGTTAAAAATGGTATCTATATTATATTATAAAGGTTTATTTCTTTCACCAATTTATTTTTTGTCAATCATGTTATACGGATGATAACTAAAACGGGACGAAAAGAGTTTTATGTATAGTGAATGAGAAGGAAGATGCCCAAGGACAAGATTGAAGACATCGTGAAAAATGAGGCGATTGGAAACTGAGTGAAATGAAGAATGACAAAGTAGAGTAGAATGAAGAAAACTCATTACGTCGACATCAAATAAATTTTGGGAAAAAGGCTTAGAAGATGATAATGAACTGGACTGAATGCATCTCTCATCATATTTTATACTTTAATCGTTTATTGGACTACCTATCGTTGATTTCGCAATGCTTATATAAATGGGGCTTAATTAGAACGGCTTACCTTGGGGGCACCATCTGTAAATGTAACGGCAAATCGACTCCTTTTTTTTCAACGAGGTACACCCACGCTTTTGATAAATACGTCTCCGTTGGGTCCTGCGAAAAGTTGTAGCTTTAGTTAGTTTACTGTCTCTCCTGATACTATATTGTATTGCATAATCGCCGAAACTTTATTGATTCAGTTAATCCAAACCACCTCGCCGCTTCCTACTGGAGATGAAGATGGAGATCGAATTCACTCATGCTGTGAATTCAATCTCCATAGGGCACAACACTTGTGTGATCAACAAATGCTCTTGTGTCCGTTTCATAAGTTTTTGAAAAGTCTCCCACGACACTGGATTTATTCTTAGTGCGGTAGTTGTCTTGCTGTAGCTGTAGCTGGGAATCCAAAGATTTTCCTATAGAAGAATTCTTGCAAGATTTAATCCGTGAATATTTTAGAAAATATTTACATCAGATAAGAAACGTAATTTGTTATGAGTAAATTAAAGTTAAAAAGACAATTTGCTGAGAAATATAACTATTATACTCAAACATTTTTGATAATAAATATTAAAAAAAAAAAAAAAAAAATTAAACAACAAGCTTCAGTGTTCTGTAAATAATATGACGATATAGGAACAATGCATTTAAATTTTTCCAGGACTTTGAGACTTGCGTGCTGAGCGGGGACCGAGAGTGTCGCTACATTGAAGGAGAGACCCATGAAGGTATTGGCGACCATCGTCGTCAAACCCTGTTCTTCTGCGGACACGAGCCTCAATGCACGTGAGTATTGATAAGCCTTTTTTTTAAATATAATTAACTCAGCAAACCAGAATATGATAAAATTGATTGCATAAAGCTTGATCATAATCAAAACTTTTAACCTAATGTAACCTCTGGAAACCTTACATAAAGTAAAATTGTGTCGCTGTCTCCGGTAACCTTTCCCTTAAAACAAAGACAAAATCGACACGTCTAGGGACTGTGTTAAACTTTTAACATCCCCTTTTTGTTTCGAAATTTAAATGGAACTATTTCTTTCATTTCATCATCATTTCATTTCATTACTATAATTTTATTATATAAACATCCGAATTGATAGCCTCCTCCTTTTTGAAGTCACTTAAAAATAGTAACATATTCTGCTCATTGCTCTTAACTACAATTCATGTACCGCCATCTGTTAGTTATGACTAAAACTAAGTGAGTACCAAACCTGTTCCAACTTCAAGTTAGTGTTAAAAATTAACACCATGCATCCGTATCTACGACAAAAAAGGTCTTGTTGGAAAAAGATTTAATGTTGACTTAAATTCTTTCACTTGGAATAAGGAATTGGCTCGCAATAATACGTCACTAGGTCATTCATTACTCAATAAACGCATCAAAATATGTATATCCAAAAGACTTAGGAGTATACTCACAGTGGTATCAATTACTATATTAGTTTTATAGGTTTGGTTTATTTTTCTACATTATTTGTTGTACTTACTTACTGTACTTAACAATTAGTTAAACATTATCTGATCTTGTGTATGTTTGACGTAATGTTTTGTTTAAATTTGAATATTTCCATGGGATTTTTAACAAAAATAAAATAAAATGAACACTAGTCTTTTTGCTTTGAAGTTTAAAAAAACTAAAATTAATCAAGTACAACCATAGAGATATAACTTAGAGCAGAGATTCCCATACTTGTGTTACTAGTTTTTATAAAAATGACTAATATTTAAGTAGGAAGTATTATTGTTCTACTTTAAAAAAAACTCAACACGTCGATAAGCATGCAGTAAATTGGCTATGGGGTCTGACTGAGGTGTCAGTAAATTTTAGAAAAGGGGCCTCCTGCCCCAATTACTTTGGGAATTACTGACCTAGAGGTAAGAATGGCCCCAATATTACAATATGTATAGGCAGCGTGAGAATGATAATAGATATATCTACCTTTATCTCTTTCTAGCCAAGCTCTGTTTTTGGCTGGGCAATATGAAGCATTAATAAATTTGGTATACCACTGATAAGCTCTTGATCGTTTATGTGGTGTATAATGATTAACTTTATGCATGTATAAACTTTATATTAGACAATAAAATAAAAAGTAGCCAATCGCAGCTTAGCTAAACATAGACAGAGTGAAATATCGGCCATCTATCTTTCTCGCTGCCTGTATCGCTTCCACTTACAGGCAGCTGTACCCCATGTTCTCTCTATGGTTATATCTCTATGAGTACAACTGTAGGACAGTTTAATAGCATAAAATGTCAGTTATTTATAGAACCCCTCGTACTTTTATTGGGGGCCGTTATTACCATTATGCATCAATTGAATTATAATATGTTTACTGACTGCATGTCACGGTCACAAGACAACGAGTCTAGAATGTCGAGTGATCGTACGATATCTCGTGTCTAATGTTTTAAAATATCAACGACATGTGCCAAATACCATTTTGTGAAGTCATATTTGGCAAAATACACTGCGTGGGAGCCAATGTTTATTGATGTTTATTATTTACATGGCAAGAGTATAGAGATAGAACTGCACGTACCTATATGTGATCGTTTCGAGATGGTAAAAGTGGATGTTTGTACCTACCTAACTACATGCCATATAGAAGAACGCGGTGAATTACCTTTATAGTATATATGCATATATGTGCCAATTCAGTTAAAACATAACTCAAATATAGCTCATGTTACGGAATTTGAGTGAGTAGGGCGATGATCGTTGAATTTTTTAATATTTTGATAAATACCATTCTTCCATTTAACTCTATGTCCGTACAAATACATAATTGTATATCGTGGCAAAGTTTGAAACGTGATATCAGAATACTTTTGTCATATCGGTATTTAATAAAATAAAAATAAATAATTAGTTGCTAGGATGGATGCTAGGATTTTCGTGAATTTAAAGTCACACTATATACTGAACTATGTGCATTTTATATCCTGACATACTACAGAAGACAGGTCACAGGCAAAGTGATTGGAATAAGTGTCTTTAATGATAGAATCTGTCTCACGTCGTCAGTGTCTGTCGCGTCCGTCATCGTCAACGTCCATCATCATCTTCTTCTTACTCTTTTCTTTTTCTATTCTCCTTTATCTCTGTCAGTTCACTGTTTACTCTCTTTTAGGCATATCGACCTTCTCCAAGTCCATTCACCTTTTCTTTGGTCTTTGAAAACATAAAATATATATCCGTTGTCGTCAATGTCCCTTTGTAATTATAAGTGACAAATTAAGTTACTTCAATATATCAAACTATTAATTCAATACTTACTTATGTTACAGGCCTTTCAATAGTGTAGAGGCATTGCAGCGCGCTAAGCGTGTGGTGGAGCAACAGTATGCAGTTGTAGGAGTGCTCGAAGACCTCAACTCCACACTCCTCGCCTTTGAAAGATACGTGCCACGGTTCTTCGACGGCGCACTACAACTGTACTGGGGTATGTAGTATGCATATGTCATAACAAATAATACTTACGTCATAAATTACTAATATTCGAATATTCTTTGAAATTATTCGTTCCAAGTATTTCTCACTGAGAAGTAACACAACACTGCTACACACTATTTTAACTGTTAACTAATTTAAAATATATGCTTTTACAACCAATTTTACATATAGGTTTACTAACATCTGGGTCAGTTAATATCCCTATTCCAGTAGCCTTTTTAATGTATGCCCACCTCTATACAAAAATCTAAGAGCTATGTTTTGTTTATTGAACGTCCTCAAGTTATTGTTGACGGTTTTAAGTTTAGTTTATGATCGTCCTGATAGCGAGTACTTGCAAGAACGAATTAACAAGGATAATTTTAGCGTAATTTTATCCAACTCAACAATTCGTGTAAAACTTTTGTAGCCATTGAGAACCATTACTTTAATTATATTTTATTTATGGCGTTATACGCAAATGCATTTCAAATTATCTATTAAAATTATTTAAAAAAACAAAACCTGTGGGAATGGTCGACGACAAAAGTTCTGAGGTAACAAACATAAAAAATAAAAATAAAAATACAGTCGAATTGAGAACCTCCTCCTTTTTTTTAAGTCGGTTAAAAATACGATCAATGACAAAATATAACAACATAGTAAAGACAACGTTACTCGTATAGTTATAATTTAGCTATAACAAGTAAACAACAGGTGATCCATTTGAACAGTAAATATCTCAAATTACAGAGGAGCTGAACACCTTCAACCGTATCAACCGCAATGCATTCAAGCCTCCGGTTTCTGAGGCGGTCAAGCAAATTGTTCGGGCGAACTTTACTAGAGAAATTGAGTTCTACGAGTTTTGTAAGCAAAGACTTCACATGCAACTAAGGGCACTACGAGACCCCACAATCACTCTTCCTACCACCAGAAGTGGGAGAAGAAGGAGAGCAAGAAGACACGGTAGAGTGTAACCGTTATGAATGATGGGTATCCCATCTAATTTAGACTGTTTAGATTACTAGCTTAAGATTATATGTATATGAGCGAATGATGAGAACAGTGAGTCAAATGATTCAAGTACCTTTTTATTTACATCAAAACACTTTTTCGCGTCTGCTTTGATCTTATCATAAAACGTATTATAGTGTAAATTACATTTGTATATAATATATTTTATAGCTTGTGTCAATGTGGGTTTTTTGTCTAAATTACCCTATAAGGCTAAAGTTACCCGCGTCGACGCACTATAACGTTATAGTTAAGGATAAAAAAATTATTAGGCCTATAGAAAATGCGAAGTGATTATAAGGAGTGTCAATTTTTCTTCAAAGATCTATCTCTAGTTTACGAGTATATCTAAATTCCATATTTATATTGTAAATTTTTTAACGAGACAATCTGTACTGACTATACAAATAAATACCTACAATTTAAGTGTCTATTTGTAATAGACATGGGACAAAATCACAGTGAACTGTGATTTATCATTCGATTTTTGCGTAACGTAGGTTGTTGTTGCTAGGTAGGCAGATTAGACGCTATTTAATAGTAAATCTAGTATTTTTTATTATTATGTAGGAAATGTTAGCTATATATAATAACATAATTACTAGATTTATCCTTGAATAGGCGAAATAGAGTCGTGTGAGTAAGTAGTAACCCTATCCTAAGTGCGAAAAAATCGAGTGATCAATCACCGGTCTTTCACAGTTCACAGATTTTGTCCCATGCCTAATTTGTAATATCATAGTAACAGCTAAATGTTTACGCGATACTAATACTGAAATCTATTTTTATATTTGTTTATTGTCTGTTTGTTTGCACCTGATCTTCCTAGGTAAAGTGATTTTCAAGAGACTGTCATTGGCAGATAGCTAATGTTTTGATGACGAACTTGGGCTACTTCTCTTTAAAAAAATATTGATGGTTCATCATAAAACACTATAAATATCAACATGCGAATGAAGCTAAGCTAAGCTTTAAATCAGGTTTAACTTACTTTACTATCAATATATGTTCAAAAATACAGAGTAAGGGAAATTAAGGACTTTTAAAAATACTTTTTTTTAAGTATTTATGTACATTGCCGAGTCTTTCATACCCTAACACGAGAAATGTGGGTTAGCAATGCTTTTATAATTTATTTTTTTAATCAAGGTTATCAGGGATACAGGCTCTGTCCCAAAATACCCTTGTTATTTATTTTTGATTCTGAAGATACCTAATTTTATGGAGGGTAGAGTTTCTGTGTATGAAAAACTGTCCGCCAAAATTACGGTAGCAAGAAAAAAATGCGCTTTGTTATGGCGGACTTTTCAAAATAATTATAGGCAACGTACGTCGGAATTGTATCACCGCTGTCATATACCTGTGTACCTATATATATATAACTCAACAAACTTCATTTCTTCTATAACTACTGTCTTTAAGTAACTCTCGCTACACTAGTGCCATTCTGGTCGGCTTCAGAACTATTACTTGCTGCTTTTGGGTGGACACGTTTTTGGTCATTTCGGTTTGCCGTCCATACAAGATATACTACTACACTACCCTCCATAATAGGTATATTTTAGAATTACGTCCAAGCTTTACAAAACTGTCCCTGTCTATGCTGGTACAGATGCGCTATTAACTATAAAATACATTTCCATAGACTTAAGATTCAGAAGGATTTAAAAATGTGTTTATTCATTGTTTATATTTAGTCCATCAAAGTTATTTATTGTGAGATCAAATGAAATGTTGTTGTGATATATTTCGCTTATCGATAAGATTGTGTAATAAAAGTACATTTATTTAGTTTTATTTATTGCATTTTTATTATATTTTACTCTGAAAGTTGCCATGAGAAAAACAAAGGTATGTGGACCTAATAACACGCAATTAATAGAAATATTTGAAAGCAATGTTTCAGCTAATACTTTTTATACTTAGCTGGACTTACTGACCTTTAGTGAGTTTATCTATTTGTGTATTTTATTTGTTTAATCTGAATACAGTATGTTAGAGAAGGTTGTGGTCATATTTTAATGTCGAATACTTAGTAGACTCTGTAAATATCGCAAAGCGCTTACCATTTTCAACCACTGCAAAAAACAATAGATAATTTGAAGTATATATAATATAATCTCTAAATCGAAGAAGAAACTAAATATTATTTTTTCGAAATCTTTTTTCCTCTAATCTAATGAACCATCATTTATCGTTTGTATATAGCTTCTAGAAATCTTAACACCCCCACATCTGCCTGTAATATCTTGTGTAAAAATATTATTTCAAAGCTTCTCAAAAGTGTCAATTATGGCGAACGTGACCATCGGTATTATGTTGCTAACGATTTTAAATGCATACAAGTTATATAGATGTTCGACTATTATTCACTTAAACGAGTAAAAATTATTCACTTAAAAGGAATTGTATGTCTATACTTGAATCTGTTTTGAAATTTGCTGTGAGTTATTAATAATTAATGATTGTTCTCTTTAGGAATTCAATATATCCTCTCAGATCCCTATTTTTCTTCGAAACTTGCCAAACAGTATCCAAATATACCAACCGCACGATGATTTAAATTAACACACTTTGCTCGGGTTTGGTCCGGATCTAACTAGGGATATTTAATTAATACTATTATTGTGTAATTATGCACATTCATTTATTAGATAGGTATTCATTACAAGACAGGAGTCAATTATATATAACAGTAAAATTAATAGCTCTCAAGGACAGTAATTAAATCGATATAGAATTAATATGGCCACATTTTAAGAATTCAGGTACATATACAAAATATTAAAGTCGGCCAAATAAATAAATTATAGGTAATATCGCTTAAAAGTAACAATAATTTAATTTAGTAATTTCTAATAGTCTCTTCGATAAAAATCTCAAACTGTATCAACAATTGGCTATTATTTATCAGTTCTTATATAAAAGTATGTCATGATACCGTTTTCTATTAAAATATCTATAAAATATAAATATATCCAGATTATAACATTGATATAAAATGTACATTATATTATTATTCGCATCGATTTTTAGGCGTATAATAGACATCATAGTTGTTGAATTAACACGTTTTTACAGGGTTTTTTATCTACATTAACATGAAAATTTATAACGTACTTACAAGGAGGATATTATGTCACCTTCGACATTACAACTAGACATTATACTAACGTAATATCTACAGTTCATAACGGAGTAGATGAATGATTTCATTCTACCTAGGTGCTACTCCTAAATCGACATATTATTATTATTACAAATGTCTAATAATGTCGTACAAAATTGTATTAAAATATTATCAATTAATATCATTCAGAATTCATCTCTCTCAATATGTACACAAAGTGCTCGCGTCCGGCACACATCGATCCAAAACTTATTTTATTGTGCTAGGGGACGCTCCTCTACATTAAACATTAATAATAGTACGAAACGAAAACTTCAATAAAATATACTCTAACTCGAAACGTTGCTACTGCAAAATGGCACTCTGAGAACGAGTCGCTCACTCGTCGGATTGTAGTATCTACACCTAGTCTAATTATATCACAAATACGCTTTACAACGTTTAGCCTCATCGGGTCGGGAGTTCGTGCGACTTGCGCGTCTCGCGAACGTCTGGGCCCGTGCGGTGCTCCGGCCCGCGGAGTCACCGCCACATCACTGTAACCAAACGGCGTCGAGCCACATCAATAGAACGACGGATGCCACTCTACTGTCGGATGCAACGGACCAGCCGCGCCCGCCGGCGCCACTGCACCCAGTGCCAAACAATCGAAGCAGTAATTAGCTCCGCTGTTATTGTCCCAGTACTGCTGGCCTTTACACAGGAATCGTACTGCGAACTCTAAACGCTGTCCCGATGATATCGCTGGTGCGTATAGTATGAACTGAAAACGATCGGAAAAGCCATCACATGAGCCTTGCACGTATGTTGCTTGAAGGTCCGTGTGAGTCTTCCACCTGTTCATCGTGTAGCGTATATTTACAGTCTTGTGGAAGTCCAGGTTTCGAACGCGTACGGAGCCGCACACTGTCACGTGCACTCCGTCACACACTCGCGCACTCTCGAGGCTCACATTCAGCATTTCGAGTCTATCGGTGATTTCGCGAGGCAGCTGAAATAATGGCACTAGTGTGAGAGCGCCGAGTCGTGGGGGACTTCGTACTGGTGGCGAACTCTGAACGTCACAACCGGTCAAATCATCATATGCAGATTTAGGTATGACTGGAATTTCATCCATAAATGTTTTCACATCTGCTAAATCTAGACCGAGCACGTCTGCAAACCGAACAATTTTTTTGCGACCCGGTGTGCCAGGCGGCGTTTTTCCAGTTTTTAATGAAGAACAACGTCGAACACGTTGAGGCCTATTATCTTCTTCGTTGTGATTTTCATCGATTTCTTCAGTTACTTCTGCACTTAAAAGTGACGCCTGTATTTCTCTTACTGGCGATGTTTCTTTTTCTATAGGAACTTCACTTGTAATTATTTCAACAGATTCTTTAATAGCTTCGCATATGGCCTTTTCTTGCTCAGTTGTTTCTTGAGACTCTTCTTCGTCGAGTGGAATTTCGGCTTCTGCGAGTGCCAAGACTTCCACATTTTCGGCAAGGTTGCATTCGGAGGCGGTTTCATTTTCAAATACTTCATCAATCCCGTCTGAAGGATCACTCTTAGCAGATTCAAATTCAGAGTCACTGTCCACTGTTACACTTTGGAAAGTAGGTGAACTAAGCCGGTCTGTATTAACTATGGTTGGTGATCGCAGAGCACAGTCAATTTCATCCAAGCTATTTTGGCGTGCACAACCTTCAAAGGTGATCGCAGAATATAAACGTTTATCGGTGTGACCATTTTCACGTGGAATTGGCTGTAATTTCACTGGCGAAAGGTCTGTATAAAAAGCTGTAGAAAATATGAAACCATTTTTGCCTTTATCGGGTTGCTGTAATAAGAATTTCGATTGTTCTTTTGGTTCTGGTTCATTAACCACATCGTAGAAAGTTGCTTCCTTTTCTTCGGTGGGAGATTGTTCTGGGAAAACGTGTTCGTCGTCGTCGACAGGACTTGAGGGGCTCTCACATTCTAACTCGAAATCGTAGAATGTGTCGAGTTCTCGCTGGTTGGTGGATGTGTTGGGCCGATGGGATGTGGAATCTCGCGTGAGCCAGCTGTTCTCGCAGTCGTCGTCGTGAGCACCACCGAGGTTGCTGAGACGCGAATGAAGATCGCGCGCGAACGCCGCCGCGCGTCGCCCACACGACATGGGCAGCAATGAGGTCAGTCCGCACTGTGACCCGGGGCGATCTCCACTCATCTGCGTCTGAAACATTAACAATTAAATATTATTTGAGATAAGTTTGGGTCCTTTTTTACTTAACAAATGTGGTTATTTAAATATTGAAGGTGACCCAAATGATTATTTTAGGTATACTCGTATCTCAATTTTAACACAGCTGCAGCTGCATAAAAGTGAGTAAGGGGATTCATACATTTGCATTCACGGTGCACGTTTTTATGATTTCAACGTTGGTATATTACATATACATACATTGTATGTATAATAATATGTGAGTATAATAAAAATGTAGCTCTAAGAAGCAAATATAATGAAACGGGCTCTCATATGTTTCGTTTACGAAGACTTATATTTATATGAAAATAAAAAAAAAAAAATTACAGATCTAGATGTATTTTTATTAAAATGTATATTGTGACACATTATATAGTTACCATACGTTTGTAATACTTTAAAAAAAGTTGCAATTAGATCGCAGATTTTGCTCAACAAGTGACCTCAGTGGTTAAACGGGATAAGACAGATATATGCTAAATATTGTTATTTTATTCTTATAAATACACACGTTTGTAGCTATGACGAGATATACATATATTGTATTATCATGTATGAAAGCTGAATGTCAAGAGTGAACGAACTCGATAAGATAATACTTTGATTCTCTATAATAAGTTGGAAATTACATTGGTTCTCTGTGATCCGGGCCTATAGCACAACCAATGTTATTTATATATTTAAATTATCACAGCTGGTACAATAACTGCATTAAGGTTACTCCGTTGGCGTGTGCATGTGACCATCATTTATCTTAATGAAAATGTAATTTATTTAATGATGCAGTACTCACAAAAATAAGCTAGCGCTTTTGTTACCTATCTAAAAGCAATAATAACATTTGTTTAAATTAAATGAGTTTCGTTTTGCTTCTTACTTTTACTTCTCCACTTTTATAAATAAATATCGTTCATCATTATACATTGCAAAAACTCACTACAAGAAATCATTATTATCATTATTTAGAAGAAAATACTATGATACTTTCTTTGCAAAACCCAACACCGCAGTTCTCAAAGGAATTTTTAATAATTTCTTTATTGTACGACTTTGTATTACTTTTGGCAGTGACACAAAATAAAGTATGATATTTAATTAACAACATAGTTGGCACAAAAGATAACTCCTACACATTTTTCAAGTATGAAGAAAATATCTAATTCCGGCTAGGCGAAAGGCTATGACAGAATAGTGAAGGTCAGCGTCCCATTTTCAAGGTAATGTTAAAATAGGTCGCCGGCCTTGACCTTATTGTAGTATTTCCTATTAGACCTATTTTTTATTAAATATGGAATTTATATCTGCTTTTTCATATTACATGTTTCGAAATGTGACTAGAGTAAGCTTATCTTACCGTTTGCTATCTTTGAATTCAGAATATCTATAAAGATTGGCATAACGGTCTGACTGCACGGATGCCGTAGTGGTTTAAGCGGTCATCTCACTGCTTCCTGCTGCGCCGAGTGTTGTGGGTTGGATCCCCACATGTTGCAGCACTTTGTGCGATCTACCAAATGTTGTTCCGAGTCTGGGTGTTCTATGCGTATGTTTCATGAATGATTGTAAAGTCTCCCGCGACACAGGACATATTTATAGTGCGGGCGTTGTCTTTCTAATTAAATTAAACGGTAAAATCTATTTGAATGTAAACAAATGGGTGGTTTCCTATCGTTAAAAAGATTTTTTCACCAGTTACTGTTTGTTTTTAGTCGTTACTGTCTGGATCATTTAAAGCAGGGATTGCCAAACTAATTTATGCAAGAGACCCCTTTTCCAAAATATACTGATACTTCAGACGCCCTTAGCCAAAATCCTGCACGCTTATCTTATATATTTTAGACCCTCTAAATCAGTTTTCGTTTATGTCGACCCCAAAGAAACCGATTTCTGCCCCAAGGGGTCGATACCGACTACTTTGGGAATCCCTGGTTTAAAGGAACTATACAGTGTTGTTAATAGATATTTACTTAATTAAATTAAAAGGAATCATATTGAATGAAGTTATTAAAACTTTCCTTTTTATTTGCTGGACACATTTTAGCCGATTTAGTAAGCGTAGTTATTGTTTTATCGTCTTTAAATTGATTAAATTGGATATGTGTGATGGTCCCTAAAATATTACCCTGAATTGAATAAGGTTATCATCGGGACATTCTACTTATTAAAATTGTAATGTAAAAAAACGAAATAGCTTGATAGATAGAAATTATAATAATAACTGCGATAATCTAAGACAGGGCTGCCTGATTTTAAACTAATCAAATTCCTAGTACACTCAAAGCCTAATTATAAATCCCTAGACCTAGGGTCTAGGGACATATATAATGATAGATAAATTACACACAGAGACGAGAGCGCTACGATAGCAAGTTCATTTTGTTCTGAGTGGGAATCGCGACATTTCCTAGCTAGACGTAATAGAATAAATAATTGGCCTGTAATAGACCTGACGTTTTATTTAACTATTTATAAACATTTCTTTTCACAATCTGTATGTGGCGCTGGTCGCAAAAAACGAAATATAGTCACATATTTGTACGCAATGCTTTGGGTGCTTCAGAGACATGAAGATGAAGCAGTCATGGAAATAAAGTAAAAATCGATTTTTGCGTACATAGGTTAGGGTTGCTAGATAATTAGGTTAGACACTATTTAATAGTAAATCTAGTATTATTATTTTTTTGTGTAGGGAATGGTAGCAATATATAATAAACTTTGTGTGATCCACAAATTGTTGTTCTGAGTCTGGGTGTTCTTTGTGTCCGTTTCATGTATGTTTGTAAAGTCCGTCATGTAAGTTGTAAAGTCGACACAGGATATTTTCCTAATGCGGGAGTTGTCTTTTTAAAGAAAGAAAGAATTACTAGATTTACTGTTAAATAAGCGAAATAGGGTCTTTGTGCATCGCCTGAAAACAGCTTATTGGCAACAACGCGTGAGTAAGTACGAGTAGTAACCCTAACGTAAGTACGGAAAAATCCAATCATACATCACCGTTCATTCACAGTTCACTGTGATTCTGTCCCATGTCTAGTGGTTCAATGGATGTTTGATTGCGTGTTCTAGAATCAATAGTACAAGCTATGCTTAGTTCTTGTCTATATAAAGCTTTATATTATCTTTTAATATCATTATTAGTTGTAATAATGATATTCCAAGTGCAATTCCAATGTGCAATAAATTAAATTTATATGAAATGCTCATGAATCTTCTTTTTTTAGTCTGTATTAATGCATGACTCGCGAATTTCAGAACTTGAGTTGATGTTTCGTAATAGTGATATGGTGCCAAAATCCCCACGTGACGATCTGCAGAAAAACGACTCAGTTTAGTGTGACGATCATGGGATGGCTCATTCTGCTAGTTATAAAGCACAAACTATTTTTGATTTGTTTAGACAAGTCTAGCTGTCAGAATAGTTTAGTAAAATGTGCTACATACTTTGAAAGACAATAAAATTGTACGATGTATCTATTGAAATCACTTTTAATATAATTGACCCATGACACCTATTAGATACCCAACGGTCTCTTGTTTGACATGAAATAAGTTCAAAATAAAATATTATTATAGTAGTTTCAACTATTTTACTTTCTTTCTTTTTTAGAGTTCCGTACCTTAAAAGGAAAAAGCGGAACCCTTATAGAATAACTTTGTTTTCCGTCTGTTAATCTGTCAAGACCCTTTATCTCGGGAACGCGTGGAGGAGGTATCGAATTGAAATTAACACCATATACTCAGGTCTACGGGTCCTTAAAGCTGTAAAAAATCAAACTTCTAAGTTGACTTAAAAAAAGATACGGCGGTCTTTGCCGCAAAAACGCATATTTCGACACTCTCAAGGGAATCAAACTTTATTATATTATTTATACATATATTATATTTTTATAGTAAAATTAAAACATTTAGAATTAATTTAAATAGACATTACATGACCTCTGAAGTTGCAGTCAGATTCACCAGCGTTGCCACGAAGGTCGTCAATTATATTATTACCTACATTTATTTTATGCATATTGCGTAATTTTTTTAATAATTGTTACGTTATAAAAACAAATAGCTAGGGATGTCTTTGTTTTACCAATAAGAGATTTTTATGTATCTGCAATATCTGCATAGAACCACCTAGGCCACGCGAAATGTATTCACAGCATAATCTGGTAAGGCTTTTGAATTATAACTTTTGCATCAAGAAAAATAATATCTTTTGAAGAAATAACTTTTTTTTAAGTTAACACTTTTTTGTAGTTCTAAACGGTATGCTTCATCATTGCAAATATTTAGAGGAACGCAAATACTTTCTAAATATAAAATTAGCCATGTGACGTACATACGCTTTTAGTCTGTGTGGACTGGGAAAATGGAATGGTCGCAACAAAGTTTTAATTTATTCTTGTAGGCAGTTTATCACGTTAGAATGCGAAACTGAAACTATATAAACTACACTAAACTATACTGTAGGGGAGTGTTTCGATAAATATAGTTTGCTAATATAACAGTGGCCAGTACACCATTATCCAATCAGGGCGCTCGGTCACAGCTCTGAGCCAAGACTTGTTATTGTACGTAAATAATATCATGTCGGACTCAATTTAAAACTATAAACATTCTTTCAGGTCTAGATCTAGAAGGATCGGAAAAGAGGAGGAGAAAGAAATGCAAGTGATGTTTTGGAATAAATTTCTAATTTTGCATAAAGAAGCTTTTAATTTCCTTTGGGATGGATAGGGGCGGTTACACTCCGTCTTCTTAATCCGTCACCACACGGACAGTGCCTTACATATAAGTTAATAAGGAGCTGTTTATCAAAGGCAATACTTGCCTCGGTTATGGTCACCTTTAGAAGAGGGCGTAGAGGTCGGCAAAGCGGCAGTGATCATGACAGCACTTGTTTAACGTGTTATATACACGGTAAATTATCTACATTCAGTCTGTGTACCTAAACAATAAGCATAAAGAAATTAGCAAAT